TGTATGTCAACTGCAATTGAAAATAACAAATGACTTAAATTAAAAAGAAAATAAAAGAATGAGTTCCTGAAAAATATTCCTGGACCATTATCCATCACTCACCTGCGATTGTTCCAGTTGTGATGATTCTAATACATCATGCTTATGTTACTAATGAAGCAAAAGGGCTTAGAGAAGTTGGAGAAAATTGTCAAATGTCACATGACTAATTAATGGCAGAGACAAGAGTAGAGCTGAGTCTTCCAACTGCAAATCCCATGTACTTTTTCCACACCCTACTGTCCTAATCCTTGTTTATTTAAACCATTTAAAGCAGCACTGAAAACTTTTTTTCAAATATGTTTTTATTTATTTCAGAGAGAGGAAGGGAGAAGGAGAGAGAGATAGAAACATGAATGAGAGAGCAATATCAATATGCTGGCTTCTGCACGCCCCATACTGGGGATCAAGTCCACAACTCTGGGCACGTGCCCTGACCAGGAATCAAACCAGCAACCTCCTGATGCATAGGACAATGCTCAGCCAGCTGAGCGACACTGGCCGGGCTCAGCACTTAAATTTTTAGAATAACTATTCCTGTTAAAATCTGGTTCCAACAGTTTTTGACCTCCTTTAATTTGTCTTACTTAAAGATATGCTAACATCACATCTTTCATTTTAAAATAGTGCTAAATCAACCATATAATAACAACTAATAACTCATAACTCCATTGCATATTGCTTTTTCATCAATGCAGATTTGACTGTTCTGAAGCAACTAGATTGACTTTTCAGGTTGTGATGAAAAAGCTCTGAGCCTCTACATAATGGGCTTAAGATCTTGTATATATTATTCTATGCTAGCCAAGCTCCTTCACAGTATTAATATGCATTTAGATAACTTTGCTTTTAATTTTGAGGTCACACAGACAGTTACCTGCATCTACAAATCAGGTACTCGGTGGTAGCAGGGTGCTATTCATGCTAGAATCACTTGATTATTTTATAAAATGATTTTATTTTGGTCTCAATTGTTTGCACTTTTCATATTATATATGAACTTCCGCTTATTGCAGTTATCTTTTCCAGTCTCCTTTTCTGTTAAGGATGGAATATTTATAATCTTAATACTTATATATTACTTCCTCTACCTAGGTTAAGCTTTTCTCCTATTTTCCCTTAAATTGTTCACTATTACTGTCTAACCACTTCTCATTCTTTACGTCTCAGCTCAGTTGTTACCTCATTATTAAAATGTTTCTTTTATCTATTTACATAAGAAGCTCCCTTACCCACCCCTCTACCCTGAACTCTTTATCACTTTATAGCATTTATTTCTTTGTGGTACTTATCACAATATGCAGTTTTAAAATTTATATGTTGTTGTTTTTTTCTTATGTTTCTCTACCGATTTGATTATAAGGTCCATATGTCTACTGTGTAGAAGTGGTCAATACTAAGCATAATGCCTGATGCATAGTAGAGGGTCAATCAACATTTGTTTAATGAGTGATATGTCTTTGTGACTTGGTGTGGAATTTCATAGTCTGTTTAGAAGTGTGTGAATATGTGTTAAATCTCTCTTAGATTATTTCCTTTATTGATGCACACTAATAGACATGCAATGGTCTACCAACTCAGTTACCTTGATTCCAATGTACCAGGCCTCCTAGAGAAATTGAGACTTTTTGCCTTATCTTGAGTGGACCTAACATTTCTGGAGCATTCTAGCCCACAATGTACTACCTTCTACAGCTTGCCCTTTATGGTAGCCTCTGGCCACAGATGGTTATTGAGCACTTGAAATGTGTGAAGTGCCATGTGCTGTCAGTATAAAAGCCACATTAGATTTTAAAAATTTAGTATTAAACATGTAAAATATCTCATTAAAAATTATTACATTGCTTTCTTATTGAAAATATTTTGGGTACATTGGACTAAGTAACATATTAAAATTAATTTCACTTTTTTATTTTTACTTTTTAAAGGTAACACTGGAACATTTAAGATTATACATATATACTAGAAGTCTGTTGCACAAAGATTCATGCAATAGGCCTTACTTCCCCTGGCTGCTGGCACTGGTTTTCTTCTGGCACCCAGGACCCAGGCCTTTCGTCCGGCTGCAGCAGAGAAACTTGGCTTCTCCGCTCTGGCCGCAGTGAGACTTGGCTTCTCCACTCCAGCTTCAGTGGAGAAGCCAAGCCTCTTCAGTCTTCAGTCATCTTCAGTCTTCAGTTGTCTTTAGTCTTTTTGAGTCTTTGCTCCACGCCTGCATATGCAAATTAACTGCCATCTTTACTGAGTTAATTTGCATACTCATCCTGATTGGCTGGTGGGTGTAGCGGAGTGACACCAATTTGCATGTTTCCCTTCTATTAGTGTAGATATACAGAGTAGAGGCCCAGTGCATGGATTCATGCACATTGAATGTAAATTAATTAGAAGGTGGCCAGTGGGGTGGAACTGGTGAGATGGGCTGGACACACCCTGGAGCCAACCTCCCGCAGTCCCTCCCCGGCCAGCTGAACCTGGGGTGGTGCAGGGGCTCAAAGGGTGCCTGCAGAGTGAATGGGGTCCCTCTGGCAGGTGGGGTTCCTCAGCCTGGCCTGTGGGAATCAGGCCAGAAACTGGCAGTCCGACATCCCCCAAGGGGTCCCAGAGTGTGAGAGGGCACTCTGCAAAGTTGCTATTGCTCGACAGCTCCTGTGTTGAGTGTCTGCCCCCTGGTGGTCAATGCACATCATAGCTACCAGTCAAAGCGTCTGCCCCCTGGTGGTCATTGCACGTCATAGCTACCGGTAGGACAGTCGCTTAGCCTTTTATAGATGAACTAGAGGCCCGGTGCACAAAAATTTCTGCACTCGGAGGGGAGGGGGGGTCCCTCAGCCCGGCCTGTGCCCTCTCGCAGTCTGGTACCCCTGAGGAGATGACCACCTGCTGGCTTAGGCCCGCTCCCCGGGGGATTGGGCCTAAGATGGCAATCAGACATCCCTCTGGCAGCCCGGCAGCCCTAGGGGGATGTCCATTTGCCAGTGGGGAGCAGACCTAAGCTGCAGTCAGACATCCTTAGCGCTACTGAAGAGGCAGGAGAGGCTCCCACCACCACTGCTG